TTGAAGAGTTTGTAAAGGAAGAAGCTTTGGGCATGGGTCAGATCAAATCTGGAAATGAAAAGTTTGGAAGTGGCATCTTCAAGTGGACAAAACAAGGGATGGATATTCAGGAACTTGCATTTCAGTCCCACTTCTCTCACAGCTGGGCGTCGGGACAGGAGGCAAGCTTTCCGTTTCCTTCTCTGTGAAGGCAGACACAGCATTTTCCAGCTTTTTAACGAGGGTATTTTTTCTTCCAAACAAAAGCTCATAGCTAAGTCTAATATGTAAAATAGCTACAGACAGAACAATTCCCTCGGAAACTGCAAGGGAGGAGCCCGGGACTGTGGTCAGCCAAGTGGTGGGTCTCCCCACCCCCACTCCCCCAGAACTTTCTCCTCACCGGGAAGCAGCATGAGAGTCAGTGGGGACATTTGGGGGAGAGAATAGCTGAAATCTCTTGAATTTGAATTTTTTATGACTAAACATGGACACTGTCTTGCTTGATAGGACATCACCAGGAGCCACAAGGAATTAAAACAGGGATGGATTAGCATCTAAAGAGTTTATTTGAAAAAAAGAAAAAAAAGAATAGTCTGGATTATTTTAATGTAACCTCTGATGTTAGGAGAGGACCGGGGACAATTTGGAAATGAGCTTTAAGCTCAAAATGCATTTTGAAAGCTCCACCTTTCATCTCCTTGAGGCATCTTTTTTCGTGAGCGCACAGCAGTTTCTGATTTGCGAGGTGCGTTCACACATGTCCATGTGCGACTGTCTGAATGACCTCACAGTTCACACTGTCCCAGAGACGGCAGTTTCATGAGGACCCCCACATCCTGCAAAGGTTCCTTTCTCATGAAGAAGGGGAAAAACATTAACAACCTGAAGAGGCGGGGGTCACTTTGTTTGAATCCTGATGTAAGAGGAACATTTGAGTTTTGACAATGGTGACCTTGAACCTGTAGACAAGTCCTGACTAAACTATCTCTTCTCCTGGTCAAGAAAACCTTGGTCTCTCGTATAGAATTTGAAAATGTAGACACTTCATTTTATGGCCAAGACTCAGGCTCCCATGACCCATGTATGTAACACGGGTGAAATGGTCTACACCTCACTCCCTTGTTTTTCTCATCCCGAAACAAGGGCTGTGAGGAGAAGAGGGAGACAGAGAGGCCGATCTGGCAAAGGAAGTGGCTCCTGGACAGGGGCAGAGAGCAGATCAGCTTAATCAGTCACTGTGACCAAAATCCCAATTTTTTATAGTTTTGAAGGAAACTGGAAATATTCAGCAGTTATGCACTTGCTCTCTGTATATCCCCCGCCCAAATAAAGTGTGGTGATAATTTTATAAAGAAAGGGATAACCTTAAACATAGGAGAAGAGTTGACAATGAACTATGAATGAGAAATGCAATTTGAGGGAAATGCTGTATTGCTTCAAACGTAACATCTGAGCCTAGGTTGAGGTATTTATATTTATTACTAGATATAGACATTTATTTTTCTAGCACTCTCTTTCCTTAAAAGGAGGAAAAGTCAGCTACATGACAACTGCTTCTATTTACAAATGACAGTTACTCATATTTTGATTTCTAACTTTTTTTTTGGTCCCTAAATTACATTTTTTAGTGTTTCTGTGTGTTCTGCTCCTTTGACTTAGCCTGGAAAATTTGAAGAGCATTTCTTTCTTTCTTGTTCCTTCTCACTCTAATAAGCCTTTACAAGTTTTTCCCCCCCTAAACTCAAAGTATAAAAAAAAATAATTTTTGAAAATGCATGTGTAAAGGACATTTTCATTTGCAATGAGATAACAGCCATAGGTCAAGACAGTTTAACTTCCATTTTCTTCATGAAGTTGTTTATTGTAGAAATTACCTCTGCTTATCCCATACTAGAGGCCCAGTGCATGAATTTGTGCACAGGTGGGGTCCCTTGGCCTGGCCAGCAATCGGGCCGATCGGGCCTCTTGCCCATTCCCGATTGGGGCCAGCCAGCAGGGGTGGGAGGGAAGGAGCTATGGGAGATTCTGATCGGGATGATTGAGGCTGGCCAGTGGGGGGGAGGGGCCGAGGGAGGTTGGCTGTGGGAGCACACTGCCCACCAGGGGGCAGCTCCTGCATTGAGCGTCTGCCCCCTGGAGGTCAGTGTGCATCATAGCGACAGGTTGAACAGTCGTTTTGGTCATTTGGTCATTCCGGTTGCTTAGGCTTTTATATATATAGATAGAAGACTTATAAATGTATAGATTGTGCATCTTATAGCCTACACCAGTGATGGTGAACCTATGACACGTGTGTCAGAGGTGACACGCAAACTCATTTTTTTGGTTGATTTTTCTTTGTTAAATGGCATTTAAATAAATAAAATAAATATCAAAAATATAAGTCTTTGTTTTACTATGGTTGCAACTATCAAAAAATTTCTATATGTGACACGTCACCAGAGATAAGTTAGGGTTTTTCAAAATGCTGACACGCCGAGCTCAAAAGGTTCGCCATCACTGGCCTACACTCAGGTGCCTATGGTTCATGGCTAACACAGTTCTTGACAATGATACTCTAGAACTAATAGAACTCACCCAATGCATCATGTGTCTACATATGTGTCACCATAGAGGTATGCAGAGTTAATGCAGTTTCCAAAAGCTGCTCTAAATCCACAGTCTATGCTCTGTGGCAATGTTATGCTCGCAAATTCATGTTGATAATTTTGTTATTTAATGTTCACATTAAGAATTAGTAAAAGCAAATCTTGCTAAATATCTGTTTGACAGCAAATGAATATAGTGCAATGAATCTTCAGTACTTGATCTGTTTTGGTGTTTTTGTTTCTTTTGTGTGTGTGTGTGCGTTTTTATTAATTTCAGAGAGGAAGGGAGAGAGAGAGAGAGATAGAAACATCAATGGTAAGAGAGAATTATTGATCACGCTCCCTATTGGAGATCCAGCCCGCAACCTGGGCATGTGCTCCTGACTGGAATAGAACCCAGGACCTTTCAGTTCGAAGGCTGACACTCTATCCACTGAGCCAAACCAGCTAGGGCTGTTTTGGTGTTTTAATCCTGAAGCAATTCAGAATTAAATTTTGCAGGTAAATAAAATCATATACTAATTATTGGAACATGGTCTGGTGCAAATGAGAATAGAAGTAGTATAATCCTCAGCACTGTGTAACAGTGTATTTGAGATATTTACATGGAATTTAAATAAAATATCTGCTTTCTTTTCCAATGTATTTTTTGTATTATAACCACAAGCTGATGTTTTTAGCATACATTATTTCAAACCAACTCCTCTTTAAAGCGATTTTATGTTTCCAATATGAAGTGTTCAATAGCCCAGTGAGCTAGCTCTTATTAAATGCATGCTTAAATGTGTCAGGCACTGTTCTCAGCTCGTATGTGTTTTATTTCATTTAATGTTTACAGAAACCTTATGAGGTAGGGATTCTTACTACTGTCATTTGACAGATGAGGAATCTGAGGACATTAAGGAACGTGCTGAAGGTCAAGCAGATAGTGATGGATGAGGATGAGTTTTGAACCCAGGCAGTTCAAGTTCAGAGCCACCATATTAAGCCTCATTTGCACCATGCCAAAATCCACTGCATTTCATGGGTTAAGACCAGAGGTTGGTGATCTCTTTAGGAGTGATACAGGAAAAAAAAATAAGTTTTAATTGAAATATTTCTCTCTTCTGGAACTCTATTTCATCCATTTGAAACAGTCAAGGCTTAAGAATGAAATAAAAGGAATAATTTTTTACTTTCCCTAACAAAGAATCATCATCTGGGCGACAATTTTGATATTTATAAAACCTACTTTAAATCCTCCGAATCACAATATCTGATGGTTTTCTGCAAATGAAGTGTTCTCGATGGTCACAGCTTGTTCTACACCATGTTTACCACTACACCGGGGCACATTTCACCTTCTACTTTGGCCACAATGCTAGAACATCATGCCACCACATCGTAACAATAACCCGAATGGATGCTGGGAACTAGTGATCATACAGGCATTTGGTCCTTTCTCTAGGGCTTGAAATAGTTCTGGGGGTGGCGGGGCGGGGGTGGGGTGTTCCAGAAAGCCCCTGCTAACCCAGCAGATCCCCTTGTGAGTTGGATCTTAGAGGACCTCGAAACCTATGGCTCTCGGGAAAGTTCCACTAGTCTAACATCTCCTTGAGAAAACGCATCTGCATATATCTTGGGTCTCTGGGTCTTACTGCTTTTCTTATCTGAAGGTCCTTTGAGAATTTGGAACTGAAGCAGGTTTTCTGAGGTGCCTGAGTCATGGACATTTAGCACTAGATGGGACCTTGGGATTCAACTTGTGTCACTCTTCATCGTTTTGCCAACAAGGAAGCCAAAAGACAGAGATTACAACTTTCATGTCACAGAGCCAGTCAGTGATAAAATCGCAATGGAAAGCAGATTCTCTGGCTCTGAGTTCAGAGTTTCTAATTAACCAACTTGGCCTTCATACCCATCATAGCCCCTGGCCTTCAGAGCTGTCAGCACGAGTCTGCGATGCTTCTTTTACTGCCTTTGTCAGGGCTCTGAGGCTGAGATTGCCACATTGACTCAGTTTTCTGACTCTAGGACTGAATGAGCAACACCCTATGAAATAGCGTAAAACTAAAGCACATACGTGCAATACTACTAGATGGTATCTCAATGTTCTCGCACCTTCTGTAACATTCGAGAACATGGTTTATTGTTAAATAAATATACAACCATAATCTTATTTTCACCCATATCTTTAAAGAAACGTGGGTGAAGCAAAACATGATATAAGATAATTTTTCATTCTTTACTATCAATTTAAGTATAGATTCTGAGGAAATGCATTTTTGCATATAGAAAGGCTAGCATTAAAGCAATGATGTTCTCCAGCAATTGTTACTTTTAAAGGAAGAAGACAGATTGAGATGTTTGTATGACCCTAAGAACTGACATGATGTTCACTCTTGTTATGACCGCACTCAGCTAGGGTATCTTACAGATAACAGGACATACCAGGAGCAGCTGCAACAACAGCACCAACAAAAGCAACACGTGTTGTTGGGCCTCTGGTTTCCAGGTGCTTGAGACACGGCAGGTGTTCCTTCATTTTGTGACTGCTGCCTCTTTCGCATTTCAGCTACGGTAGTCCCGGATTGGCTGAAAAGGGAGAGGAAACATAAGGTAGGGGGGAAAAATCACAATAAAGATAAGGAAGTAAGGAAGCATCATTTGATTAAAAGATGGGGGAGGGAAGAGCGTTTAGAGAAGGTGATAACGAATAGGCCTGGGCTGTCAAATTAAAATTTCTCCTGAAAAGTTTTTAGGAGAATATCCTAAAAGCTTTTGGGGACAAACTTCTATCATTACCTGCTGCATAAAATCATAGCAGCAATATCGCCACAGAATCAGAATCAGTTGGGAAGGTAAATATAAGGTTTGGAAATGTATTTTTAACTTCCTTCTTTACTCAATGATTACATCTGCTTTCCTGTATGAACTCCTTTCAATGATTATAGGGGGTGTGTAGTTCTCATTTCTCCACTGATGTTTACAGTAAGGTTAACTGAGCTCCATAAATCACCATTGCGAGGTTTTTAATGACAGAATGTTGTGTGGAAGATCAAGTTTGTTTTTGGTGTTCTCCCACATTTTTTTTTTTAAACATTCAATCTCCTCTTTGGCACTTCCGGTGCACCCTCCTGGGCTGGTCTCGATAATATTGGCAAGGCGCCTCATGCTCTGTTACATAACCTTGTTGCAAAGGCATCACCTCCTTTCCCCCCACCACCCAGATCTATTTTCATTTCATAGAGAATTGTGAAAAGGTAAAAAGGGATGCAATCAAGGAGAAAGACTCTGGCGGAACCTATATTACATATCATGCTAAACAAGAAAACTATTGGGGTATAGAGTACCATACCTGTGACCTTACACATTAGACCAAGTGAATTGATTTCTATGTAAAAGCCCAATCCTGATCTGGGACTTAGTTGCAGATAAAAAATGAAATTTTGTTTTAGTACAATAATATCAAATTTACTATGACCTCTTTGAAAACAGAATGAATTCTGCTGAATGATGTTTTTCAGATATATGCAATGTATGTAAATCACATACATATGTGGTCATATGTGTAACTGAGAGCAACACATATGAAAAATGTAAAGCATTTCCGGTTATTTTGGCATTGTGACCAAATACACATCACATCTTTAGTTCTAAATACAATGACAGATACTTTTTAAAAATACTGTATTCTTGAAAACAAAATAAAATCTCTTTAGACCAGAAAACTACAAAATGGCCAGTTAATGGGGGCTAAAGCCAGAGACATTTTGCAATTCAGGTGTGGGAACAGAAAGATGCAGAGGCCCCATACTCCAGGAGGTATAAAGTGCTCCACTCTGAGCTCTCCACAGGGAGACCAGATTCCAGGGCACCTGCACAGAGTCAGGGGATGTGGGGTCTGCTACTCATAAAAAGATGCTGAAAACACTATCTATCCCACTCAATTGTGTCAGGCTGCAGGAGGGAGAGGATGCAGAGAAAGGCATCCAGACCTGCCCTGGGCCAAGCAGCCCACAGGCTCAGTGACATGGGTCAGAGACCTGTCCAGAACCACCAATGGATGTGGGGCAGGGATCCTGAGATGCTGATGAAAGAAGGTACCGAGGGACCAGTGGAGACGAGAGAAAAGCATCACATTATGAAGGGTGAGTGAGAGTGAGAAATATACCTCTCACTTGATGTGTTTCTTGAAAACAAAAAATCTAAACACTGAAAAATAGAGAGCCAGCTCAACAACCAGGAGATGGCTACATTCCTGATCAAATACAAAAACGGAATCATCTAAAACTAGTTTAATATGCGTATGTTTAACGTAAACAATGTGATAAAGGAAAGACTATGAGAACATTTGTCCTATTCATGCAAGAGAACAATGAATTATAAAAACAAATATAGGCAAGCAGGAAAACAAGAAGAGAGAATGAAAAACAAATGTAAAAACAAAAACACATAGTCATCAAAAATATTTGAAGAGAATAATATCTGCCCAGAATTTAGCAAAAGGTAAAAAGATGAAACACAAAGGAGATAAGTACAGTGTAGCATGGAAAGACTCCAACATATGCCCAATAAGATTTTTATCATAAGGAGAAAGCTCACGGATTATCAGAGAAGTATTATTTTCAGGGAATTTGGCTGAGAACTTTCCAGAATTGAAGGAAAACACAACGAAACAAAGCCTCACATTAGAAGAGTACATGACATGCTGCCCAGAACTAATAAAAGTAGAGACACACTTACATGCATTCTAATAGAACCACAGAAATGTGAGATAAAGAAGTAAGCTAAATTATTGCCCACAGGGCGTAGCCTGTACTGACAATAGCCTTCGTGGGCAATACTAGATGCCAGAAGACAAAGGGCAAGGGAGTAGTGTTTTCCATGTGCTGAGGGAGGAAAACCATCACCTACAATTTTATAGTGAGCTAAATGCAAATTCAAGAGTGAAGATGATTTATGATATATAAATTGAGTTTATTTCTCAAATCCTTGCTGAAATCTACTTTGGCAGCTATCAGTTTTTTCTTGGATCACTTCAAAAATTATATGTGTCTATATATCACTTTGCTGTACACCTGAAACTAATATAAAATAATATTGAGCCCTGACCGGTTTGGCTCAGTGGATAGAGCGGCGTCGGCCTGCGGACTGAAGGGTCCCGGGTTCGATTCCGGTCAAGGGCATGTACCTTGGTTGCAGGCACATCCCCAGTAAGGAGTGTGCAGGAGGCAGCTGATCCATGTTTCTCCCTCATTGATGTTTCTAACTCTCTATCCCTCTCCCTTCCTCTCTGTAAAAAATCAATAAAACATATTTTAAAAAATAATATTGAATGCACACTGTGATTGACAAAATAATAAAAAAGGAAGATATGAGAACATTCTTTTCCTTTCAAAGTTAGGAAATATAAAACGATTACTCTTTATTTATGCATTACAATGGGATGGAATGTTATACAGCTATGACAAAGAAGGAAACCTGTCATTTATGACAACCTGGATGCACTTGATGGCATTATGCTAAGTGAAATAAAGCACATAAGCAGATTGTGTGATCTCACTTACATGTGGATTCTAAAAAAGTTGAATTAGCTCTAGCTGGTATGGCTAAGTAGATAGAATGTCAGCCTGTGGACTGAAGGGTCCTGGGTTTGATTCCAGTCAAGGGCACATGCCCAGGTTGTGGGCTCCATCCCTAGTAGGGAGCATGCAGGAGGCAGCTGATCAATGAGTCTTTCTCATCATTGATTGGAATATAGTGGTGGTTACTAAGTGCTGCAGTTGGGGGCAAGGGGGATGATCCTGGTCAAAAGATACCAACTTGCAGTTAGAAGATGAATAAGTTCTGGAGATCTAATGCCCAGCATTGTGGTTATAGTCAATAATACTGTATTATATACTTTGAAGTTGCTAAGGGACTAGATCTGAAATATTTTCATCACAAAAAAATAAATCATAAATATGTGATGTGATGGAGGTGTTGGTAAACTACAGTGGTAGTCATATTGCAATATGCAGTATAAGGGTATTAAACCAACACATTGTACACCTTAAACTTATAGAGTGTTATATGTTAATTATATCTCAGTTAAAAGAATCTTTACAGTTTGAGCAATGAGCAAAATAAAACAAGCTGAAATGTAAGAGATTAATTATAAGGATATGAACTTGGATAAAAAACAACTGCATAAGACTAGGATGAGAGAAACATGGTTTACGGGAGCATATAAAAAATTCTAGGTCATTTCCTGGACAACAAATTCAGTAGTAATCAACCATACCATGTAAACACAAGAGTTAATGGGAATTTAGAATATATTACTAGAAGCATTTCTTTATTCTATAAAGTGCTGGTGACAGCTTGTCTCTGGACTTGTCAATGATTATGTTCAAGTCTGGTCACAACTATTTAAGAAAGAAATTGAAATGTTTTCAGAAGACCAGAAGGAGGTGTGTTAAAAAAACAAAAACATCTCATAAGAATACTGTTTTTACAGCAAAGGCGTTAGCTCTAAAGAAGACTAAGATAATCAGAATAATAATTTTCTAATATTTGAAGTGATTCCATTTAGAAGATAATATAGATCTGTTTTGTAAGGGATAGGGCCTAAGCCAGCAGGTGGACACCCCCCAGAGGGGTCCCAGACTATGAGAGGAGAGGAAGACAGCTCTCTCAAGGTAATACCGGAGAGAGTCATTCGTAATGTGCCAACCAGTTGGTGTCGTACAATGTTTTCAGGCTGGGATGTTGAAGATTCCCACCAGTGTCTCTTCGCTGAGACATCATTTTACTTCTTATTGGGCAGGTTTTTATTTCCATTGGGTGGAATCCTTCTACCTCAGGGATCTACACAAAGGCTTGATGAGCAAAGAAAGAAGACTGATGGCTTGGTTTTTCATTTCACCATGAACATTGCAATTTTTATCACATGTAAAATGAACTGAGTCTCAAGTGACTCATAGTACCCACAATCAACTCCTTATCCAACAAACTTCATTATAATTGCAGCCATCTTGTCATGTTTTGTGAAAGCATTCCCTTTTCCCATATAATTGTTGATTCGGAGTTTAGCCCGCCAAAAGGTATTTGCTAAATAAGCCAAACCTATGAGGCTCTCCTTAGCACTGGGATGGACAGGGAAGCCACTCACCATGTACAGATATTTATGCCTTGTTGTGATGTATTTTCCCTTTGAATGGAAACATCTCATTGCTCAGTCTTAAATGTCTGATAATTACCCTGCTTTAGCCAAGCCCGCATATGTCTATATAATGGAGCAAGCTTTCAATGTGACTTCTTGTCTCAAGCATATTTAGCCAATAAAAGTTGTGTCCAAACCAGTTTTTTGCTTCTTTTTTTGGGGCATATATTTTAGTGTGCTATTTTCAAAATTGTGATACAGTAGTTCCCCCTTATCTGAAGTTTCACTTTCTATAGTTTCGGTTACCTGTGGTCAACCGTGGTCTGAAAATATTAAATGGAAAATTCCAGAAATATAGAATTCATTAGTTTTAAATTGTGTATTGTTCTGAGTACCTCACTTCCTCTCATTCCGTAGGCATTGTATCATCTCACATCATCACAATAAG